TCGTTTTATTGAGTGTAAATGATTGGAAAATTGAATTAAAGCCTGTAAGATTCGTTCATAAGGCTGAAAACGTTGAAAATCGATCACAAAATGATAAAAAAAATAGAAATCCTGTGAAGAACACTGTGCAGCTCGTGTTCTTCCGGGTGACTCGGTCTGACTCGGACGGAATTGCGAGTCTACTATTGGGAATCGCCCGGTTCTCTCTGGACACGGGTGATTCCCGTTTTATGTGCAGAACCGGTGCGTCCTCGAGCGATTCTTGAGTCGAACCGAGCGAGTCCGGTTCGACTCGACATTTTTTAAAACCCTGGTTGATTGTATTACGATGAAAACAACAAAAAGTTGTCACTAAAGTTGAACGAATAATTTTAAAATGTCTAAAATAAATTATGTTATCTTTAATATAATAAAAGTGAACATGTTCTTTTATATTTTAAATTCTAAATTTTAAACACTTTTTTAATTTCATTTATGACTCATTTTACTTTAAGAGCTTACTCAAAGTGTTTGGTATAATGCGAGTGTTGAAAATATGGTCTATCAGGCCCTTTTCTATGGGGAATTTATGTGTCAATAATGGTACAAAAGTCATATTGTAGTATATGTGAAATCCCATGTAGTTAACATGAGACAATGCCAGGATCTATTTTTTAGCTTTAATAGGATGTTATATCGGAGGGAAAACCTAGTGGTGTGTTTGGATTGTTTGTAATAATTGTTTTTTCTATATTATAGATATAGAAAGTTTATTTAATTTCTAAATATCATTTATCAAATTGTAGGAATACTTCATTGACATCCTATTATGTGAGTCATTAGTGAACTAATGACAGATTTAGCCCATTACATAAGATTATCAGTTTGGTAACAACTTGTTAATATTAATTAGTTGCACTTAAGGGAATTAAGATAGGAGTTATACTTGGATCTCAACTCCCGTAGACCATGAATGCGGGAGTTACAAACCAAAATGTGATCTCAATAAAAAGAGATTAACCCCTCATGAGAAAGTAATATATAGAAAAGGGGAAAGGAGGTGAACGACATTCGCCAAAGAGGATTATCAAGGTAGCATGCATCGGATGGCTTGGTCGATAGGTTTTGAATTAAGTCCCTCGTGTGATTTAAAGACAGATCCGAGTAAGTTATTTATCGATTTTATTTATAGATATTTATTATTGTGATTAACAGTCATAACCCCTTACTAGTTTAGATTAAGCCATGATGAGAGGCATTTGGTATTCTCATTTATTCTTAATTTCTGTGTGGTAAACGATTCGGGTCGAGTGGGATTTAGGTTGATTTTACTTATGATTCCACCTGGCGAGGTTCAAGTTTGGACCCAACCAAACTGAAAGTTTTGAGATAGATTTGGATCCAGACCTTGATTGAACCATGGTTAGGCTTTGGTCAAATGGATTGCAACCTGACTTGCTGGATCCAGTATTGGGGTAACTATATGAGTTTGTTAATTATTTTTCTTGTCGTTTTTTTGGACTTTTGGGAAGTGGTTCGTTGTAGGTGTCGTATTTGACTTTGATTGTGAGAACGCCTTTTCCTTCCCGCTTGGTTGGCACTGCCCCACGATAAAAGATGATCTCTCTCTCTCTCTCCCCTAAGAATTGGTTACTAATGGTAGGTGTTGTCCAATTTATGGCATGGATTTGATGACATACGCACAAATGGGATAATATGGATTTGTTTCATTTTCGTAGTTTATTACACATCTCACACTTAATAGACCATATTGTTACTATTTGTCTTTCATGGGAAAGGAAACCTTGGAGTTATAAATATGGATGGCCTGCAAAGATCCAACCAAGTCATCGATTTAGCTGAAACAATAATAAAACTAGGATCACACTTGCTGAGTTTCTTTTAACATTATAAAGCTGGGTGTAAATTTCAAAAGGGATTGTCTATAAAAAGGTTATTTATTTTTCGTACATGGAAGTTACAATCATTTTCACTCATTGAATTAGATGGCTTGGGGTGAGTCATGAAGTCCAATATTTTTTTTTTTTTTTGAATTTTATGTTTAGTCAATATCACTTTTACTTACCGCTAATTTTGAAGGAAAAAGTCTATATATGGATACCACCTTATAATGTAGAATTATGGATGCCCTTCAAAAATCCATCAGAAAATGTAGTTTTAATGTTGAAAAACCTTTTGATTGATCATCTCGATATCGAGATGTATGACTATGAAAAATAAAAAGATTTTAAGTCTCAGAAATAGTGTATTTTACAACATATTATCTACACCGTCCATTTTCAAGATTTTATGTTTATAGATCTACTTGATTTTAAGCATTTTTAAATTTAAAATTTTATAATTAAATATAAAAATAGATTTTGAGATAATCCTAAGAATATTTTACATCAAAATTATATACCATGATAAAATTTGAAGGTGCACCTTATCGCTACACCTACGGATACATCCGTATACAAACTGCACCTAATTTTGAAATTTAAAATGACAAAAATGATCGTGACCTCTACATACAAAAGATAAATGATCTCTTTGTAGACAATCTCACTTAAAAATATTGGAATTGGATCCTAATCACCAAAGGTCTGATCAAACTTGAATTCAGACGCATGTCCCATATCATTGATACAATATTTAATTTTTTTAAAAAAAAATTGGCCATTTCATGATGCCTTACCAACTCGGGCAAGCACCCACCGACACCGAGCATACTCGCGTAATTTCGAGTCATCCAATAAGTCTTTCAAACCCTGAGACGAAGAATATTGAGAGGGAGAGAGATCTGATTTATAAAAAGAGAAGGGGGGAGAGGAGGGATAGAGTTTCGGACAATCAAGTCAGTCCGGATAAACTGGTTGTCAGAGAGTTTTGGACCAAGAGATAAAGAGAATCAATTTTGAATCAAGAAAGAGAATGAGTTTTGGATCCAGAGATAGAGGGAATCAGTGAATGAAGGAAGAGAGAGTTTGGACCATTTGCATGGACGAGTTTTGTCTGTTGATGACGTGGTAACATAAGGACATATGCGAAGAATATACGACGCAAAGCCACATTTTTTATTGTCTTCAAAAAAGTGTCTATACCGTGATCTGGATTTATTTTTTTTTGTTAGAGAAGTATGGAAACTTTTTTTTTTTTTTTTTTTCAGGCATAGTTTTTATGTTTTTTCACCACATAAAAGTTCTATCATCTTTATCAAACGGTTGATTTTGAATGGAGGGTTAAGATTGTCCCAATTATAATATCACATCTTTACACTATTTTATTTTTAATTTTTTTCTATAAACTATTTTGACACCAAATTTTGGACGGCCATTCCTCTATTAAACTCGCACTGGCTAAAAAATATAAAAAAATAATATTTTCAATAAAATAAAATTACCAAAATACCTCTGAAAGCTTTAAAGAGTATTTTAGTCATTATATTTTATCAAAAAATTATTTTTAATATTTTTTTTATAGGTGTGCCCCAATGAGAAGATGACATGTACCAAGTTTCATATTTATACAATCTGCATAAAAAAAACTAAAAATAAAATATTTTGAGACGACAGATCTAAGATCAAACGATGAATGATTTTTTTTATTAAAATTAGATGGCTGAATGGTAGGGAGAAGATAGGACTTCTATGATATAAAGGAAGCATGAAACCTTTCCTTTTCCTTTTATTACTTTCAAAAAGATTTTCCTTTTCCTTTTATTACTTTCAAAAAGATTTTCCTTTTATCCTCTATTGTACTTTTTTTTGTTGGAATTATAACTATAAATATCCTCAAAGGGAAATGCATCATTGGGCGCTGTTAAGGTCCGTCAACATCACTTTTATAGTTATGGGTCTGGTATGTATAGAGCCTAGGCTCTAAACAATCAAATTAGAGCCTATTTCCAAAGAATGTCCGGAAATGTAGTTTCAATATTGAAAATCTTCGTGATAGACTTAAAATATATTTTCATCTTTATTTATAAAGTTTAAAGCTTAAAAAATAGTGTAGATAGACCGATCCATAAAAACTTGGGAAATTTTGAAAATTGAAGGTCTAAAAATGCATTACAAAATACACTATTTTCCAAACTTGAAATCCATTTTTTTTCTCATGTCGATGCACCTTGATGTCGAAATGATGAATTTGAGGATATTTGGGCATCAAAACGACTTCTTCTAATGAAATTTTGAGGTAGGCTCTAATTTGATTGTTTAGAGCCTTGGCTCTATATAAACTTTTCCCTTATAGTTATGCACCGGTTGCAAGCTCAAAAAATAGGAAATTTTCTTCTTTTGTTTTTTGCTCTTTATGGTGGTTCTCCACAGTGTACGAAAACCGGACATGGGTTGGAAGCGGTTACTCAGTACTAACTGGTACCTAACCAGACAAGTCTCGGGTGATAAAAATTCATTAAAAAAAATATAATATAATATAAAATATATATTTAAAACATGATTAAACAAAGCACATCCAAATTAAGTTGAAAATCAATAAAAAAAAAATAGATTTTAAAGAATTGAGTTATGCCTACAGGTGCTTTTGAAAATTTTCCCAAAAGATGGGAAAATATAAAAATAAGTATTAATTGCTAAAACAATTTCCAATCTTTTGCCAAAATGATGTAAACTATTAAAATGCCTTATTTTTTGAGATTTTTATATAATATTTTTGAATTTTTTAAAATACCCAGTCGGTTTACCAAAACCAGCCGAAAATCTAACCGAGCAGTTCTAATTCGAACTGCCCAATTTTTCCTACATTGGTTCGCCATTTACATATTCTAGACAAATAAACCCTAGATATTGTGCTCTTTAAACAAATAAACCCTAGATATTGTGCTCTTGAAATAGATAAACCCTAGATCCGAATGGACGTTATTAGAGTTAAATTTTTTATGAGAAAATGAGTTGGAGCATATTTGAGCTTCTTCTACTATTTTTATTTTTTTATATGAGACTATTTGTCTTTGTTACAAAGAGGTCATAATTATTCTTATTCATTAGATGCCAACGTGAATGACCAAAGGTATGTAACAAAGTTAAGTTTTAAAGAATGTTCTTCTTAAGTTTGAAACTAGTTAATGATACACTCCCAATTATGCAATTTGAAATATAACAAACGAAAGTAATCGTAACCTCTTTGTATTAAACATGAATGGTCTATTTCTCTACTTTTGCATGAGATATTTGCAAAGCTTTGAGATAAACATGTCTTTGGTAGGGAGTGACAGTGGTCTAGCCAGACCACCAAATCTTTACCCATAAATAATTATTACTTCAGAATTCAGATACCATCGAATATTCGGTGAAACCGAAGTATAAAATGGTCGTATAAAAGAGGGAAAAAGTTTATATGAGGATGAAACCTTATAATGTAGAACTATGATACACCTAAAAAATCCAACAAAAAAGGTAATTGTAATGTTGAAAAACCTTTTGATTAATCATCTCGATATTAAGATGTATGAATATGAAAAATAAATAGATTTTAAATCTCAAAAATAGTACATTTTACAATATATTACATCTATTTTTAATAATTTTATAGGTTTATAGATCTACCTAGATTTTAACCATCTTTGAAATCTAAAATTTTATAATTAGATATAAAAATATATTTTGACATAATCTTAAAAATATTTTACATTAAAATTACATACCACGATAAAATTTGAAGGCGCACCTCACCTTTACACCTATTTATACATCCGTATGCTGCATCTTATATGAAAGAGACAGAGTACATAGGAATTTGATTATTTTCTCTTCCATGTGTTATGGCCGGGAACAGTAATAATCACAAACCAAAGATGCTAGTCTAACTCCGGCAATGGCGCTCATCCTCTTCATCTCCTAAGGAAATTCTCTCTCTCTCCATTCTCTCTCGCACTAACAATAAAAACTCCATTCTAAAGGCCACTGTTGGCGGGAATGTCCCTTTTCCGATGCCATGAATACGATCAGTTGGTACCCATTTGTCCTCTGTGTTATATGACGTGGTTCTCATTAATTCGCTTTCCTCTTTTTCTCGCCCTCTCTGATCATGGTACCAATCTCATATCTGAATTTGTTTTCGTTGTTTTCCATTTTTGGTTCTGCTAATTTGTCTGCAGTCACATTAAATAACCAACTAATCTCTGCTTGAGAGAAAGAGTCTCTCAACTTCTTGGGTTTTTTTTATTTGAATATTAACTTCTTGGGTTTTTTCTCTTTGGAATTATCTAGCTTGATAATAAATGAAATAACCGTTTCTGGTAGCTTTATGTTTAATGGCTTTCGTTTGGTTCAAGTTATCTTCAATATTATCCTGATGCAAGTAGAATCTGTGGTTTCAGGTTTAGATTTTCTTTATCGGAAAGCAAAAAGAAGTGGGGAACATTTCTTTCTCTTATACTGCAGAGGAACTGAAAGAAAGTACTGTGTTAGTTTGATTGCATGTGGAAAGAAATTCTTCATAATTTCATATGCATACTGATTCTTAAAGAAACCCATGATCTTGAAAAGCCAACCATGTTCGTATCTCTTTGAATAACTAGAGCTCTTTTTTTCTGGGGTTTCATAAAGTTTATCATGAGAGCTGAAGAAATAGAAGAACAGAGGTATTTCCGTAATTTCCTTTAATGTTTGGAGGTTCTCTTTTTGGGGTGTTATATTTCTTTCCCTGTATATCAAATGTATTGAGGGGGCATTTTTTTATGGTTGGAATTGGAGATATTGATTATTTCATTGAAGAAGGAAATACTGTTTGGGTTGCTTTGTCTTGTTGTCAGAGTTCCTCAATTACCATCAAAGAGCAGAAATTGCTTTCTTTGGAGAAGAAATTACTAATTTGGGTTCATTAAGATCAAGAAATTCAAAATGGGGGGCCTCCACCTGGTTTCCATCTTCTAACCAGGGTAGGGATTAGGAGCTTTGGCACATGTCGAACCCTTGTTTTGATCCTCACTTTCATCGCGTATGCATGCTATCATGCTTCTCGTAAGCCCACAAGCATTGTAAAGAGTGTGTTGGATCCTGAAGCCACCAAGAACAAAAGCTTCCTTAACCTTTACAGCCCATCTCCCAACTTTAAACCATGGCCAATTGGCCAAGTTTTTATTAGAAACTATGGATTAGTGGGCATTGATAACCGGACTGAAATTCAGAAAAACTTGAGCATTGGAAAGTTGGGTAGCAAAGGCTGGGCTCCCTTTAATGGAGAAGATGGGACTGCTAAATTGGGCGAGATAGATGTGGCCTTTTTATCATTCTATTCTTTGGGAATGTATGTAGCAGGCCATCTCGGTGACAGGCTCGATCTCAGACTTTTCTTAACAATTGGGATGATGGGTAGTGGGATTTTTGTTGGGCTTTTTGGAATGGGCTATTTCTGGAACATCCACTCATTCGTGTTCTATTTATTGATGCAAATTAATGCTGGTTTGTTTCAGGCTACTGGTTGGCCTTCTGTTGTTGCAGTTATAGGGAACTGGTTTGGAAAGAGGAAGAGAGGGCTCATAATGGGTATATGGAATGCTCATACATCAGTGGGAAATATAAGTGGGTCTCTTCTAGCTGCTAGTGTTTTGCAACATGGGTGGGGGTGGTCCTTTATTCTTCCTGGTGCTTTGATATTTTGTGGAGGGATAATGGTTTATCTTTTTTTGCCTGCTTACCCTGAAGATGTGGGCCTTCCCTCTCCATATAGGTTCAAAGCTCATGGTGACGAAGGAAGATCTGATACAAAAGATGGGGTACTTGATATAGAAAGGGGATCTATTGATAGAAATGATAAGGGAGCAGTCGGAGATAATAGGAGAAGTGAATCAATGATTAGGAAGACAAGTGCGGTTGGGCTTATTGAAGCTTGTATGATACCTGGGGTGATTCCATTTGCTCTTTGTTTGTTTTTCTCAAAGCTCGTGGCTTATACCTTCCTATATTGGTTGCCATTTTATCTGAGTCAGACAGGTATGCTTCTGCTTCCTCTGAATTAAAGTACCTCTTATGGAAAGCGGATCACAGTCCTATGGATTATGGGGACGATGGAAAACCATAGTCCATTGGGGTCATGACCATATGTTGAAATGATGGAGAGGAGTGGTACCCTCCAGAGTGGGACAACATAGGTCCTGATCTTTTCCATGTCAACCCAACATTCCTTTGAATTAAATTTACTATGGTTTTCCATGGTCCATCAGATGTAGCAAGTCATCCTTTTATATTATGCCTAAAACATTTCTGTTAGTTGAATTTAAACTGGACAATCTAAAGTTTATGTGCATTATGCTGTGTGAGGTATTAGACTTGACAAATTCCTGTTGGATCTCAACCACCCTCTTACTTTGCTTGACTATTATCTTTCAGAGTTGATTAGATCATTTGTTGTCAAATCTGGCTTGAAGGTATGTTGCCATTTTAAAATCCAAATCTTTAATAGAAAGTTGTATAGGTGAACTTGGTTTAAAGAGCATCTCCTAGTATTCCATTAGGATGGTTTTTTTACAATGAACTGATACCTAAGTTCTGTTTCTGGTTCTTGGTTGTTGGGAACGGTTACAATGCAATTATGCATGGCACAATCTCTTGTGAGTTACTGATTTTGGGGGGTCAGTATGGTCTCAGATAAATAAAAGGTTCACTTTTGCATGTAGAAAGCCTGACCATTCTCTCTGAGTGAATTTTCTAAGCATCATTAGCTTGCATTGAGACTATATGCAGGATTCAAATGATATAATTTCTCTAATTTTTTGTTTGTTTTTATTGGTAAGTACATTGTAATCTGCAGTATTGCTTGAAACACCCCTTTATTTCTAAGCTTTCTTGCAGAGTTTTCTCCTTCCATGTTCAAATGAAGTATTCTTTGTTTTCATTTGTGAGGAGTAATCCTGAGATTCGAGGGAACTTTATAAGTTTACTTGAGAGTAACATAAGCACTCAAAAATTGGATATAATTTATTAGAAAAATGATATCTAGAATTACTGCACTTTTACCTTTTGGCACATATTCCTTGATGTATCATGCTTCGATGAGAAAATTCTTATTGAATGTCAGAATTTAGTATAGAAAATTCTTTAATCTTGTGTGGGACCGTCAGGATTGTTCCTTGGTGAAAAGTTTGTCATATATCTTAATAACTATTTTAGGATAAAGCAAGAGCTAAATAGGAATGGTGCCAACCACAGGATTAGATTGTGATTCACAACTTGTTAAACCATGGTTCAGTGACTTAATTATTAATTATTTATGGTCCAATCCACAACATTAGATTGAGCATGTAGTCGAGCCATCCCCTGCACATGTTTGATAACATGTATCATGTTACTTGGCTGTGGGAGGCTACATGCATCAAAATAACTCACCTTAACTTTTGTTGTATGCTGAAGAATCAAGAGTGAAGCAAGCTTGGTCACAGAGAGATGATAAAGAGCATCTAGCTGCCAGAGGTAAAGAATATTGCATATATATATATATATATATATATAGGTGTGGTTTGCATAAGGTCACAACCTTAAAGTAAGGCACACCTGCAAATGTTATCATAAGATGTAATTTTTGGTGTTAAAAATTCTTAGGATGGCCTGAGAATCCATGTTTATTTCTAATTATAAAATTTTAAACTCAAAAAATGATTCAAATAGTAGATCTATAAACACGTGAAAGTATTGAAAATGGACGGTCCAGGTAATGTATTGCAAGATGCACTATTTTTTGTACTCAAAATATTTTTTTTCCTTTTCATATTCATACCTCTCAATGTGGAGATGATCAACTAGGTGTTTTCCAACATTAAAACAGTCTTTTCCGATGGAATTTTTGGTGCAACTTAAGTATACATTTTAAGGTTGCCACCTTATATGAACTTTTTACTATACATATACGAGGGAACTTAGGTGTGGCTTCAATAGACGATAAAATGAGGGAAAGTAGACTTGGGTGCGTTGGCCATGTGCAACATAGACGTAATATAACACCAGTTAGGAGGTGTGATTTGTTTTAAATGGAAGACTCTAAAAAGGCAAAGGGAAGGCCCAAAAGAACATGGATAGAAGTAGTAAGAAAAGATATGGTGACTTTTGGTCTTATTGAGGGTATGGCCCTTGATAAAGAAGAATCGAGGAACATGATTAATGTAGCTGATCCCAAATAATTGAGATAAGGCTTGGACGATGATGATATGTATGTATATGTATAGGTATATGTATGAGAACCACTTTGATTCTTCTTTCCGCTTGCTGTCTATGTTATCCATTCGCTTCAAAATAGGCTTTCAGTAGTTGACACATGTTTGACATGACATAAGAAAAACAAAGAATGTTCTGTTTTATTTGGACATTGCTAGTTCAGTATTTCTATATTTGATGCTCCACTACCGTATTTAATTGCAAAAAAAAAAAATTGGAGTTCAAAAAGAAAAAACAAAAACTTGAAACAAGGCTTATGTTTTTTTTTTCCTTTTCTTGTTGGGGTGGCGGCAGGTGGTAGGAGAGGAGGTGGAATAGAATTTTAAGGCAAGACAATGGAGATTGTTTGTAAAACTGTATTGTGGCTGTGACTGATTGCATTATGATTCCAATGTCTTTCTTTCCATTTTATCCTTACACAAACAAGAAAAGAGACATGAATTGTTGTACATTGATCCGTGTCCTACTTGAATATTCTCAATAATAACTTTATTTAGTTTTGTTTTATTGATGTTTTTCAATAGTTGTTATATGCTTATCTGTACTTTATATGAATGTTAATACCAAGTAATTTTTCGTTTCCCCATTTCCTACTTTTATCTCTGCCATGTCCAGTATGCATGATGGTGTCTTATTTATTTATTTATTTTTTAATTTGTTAACTTTATGGTGTCTTAATTATGAACTGTGTTTTGTTTAGATGTTTTTTTATTTATCATATAAAGAACAAGAAGTTCTTTGGCACCACTTTTTTGTGTGTTTGAGCACAGGTGTGTGCATATGGGTGTCTGTACACATATGTGAAGGCATGAAACAAACAAAGGATGTAAATTGTTTTAGTAGAGATCCTATATATTACACCATTTTAGTAATTGCAGATATTCAGCCATCTTTCCTTTTTTTCCTTGGTTTCTTGAGTACCTTATTTATTTTCTTTTTACACATCTTATGATTTAAGTACATTATTGCAAACACCCACCATGATGCTTACTACCTCTCTTGTTACCTTTCTAGGCACACTAAAACTTATTGCAACCACAAACCAATTTGTTTCCTCCCTTTCTCTTTTCTTATTTATCATATTAAGTTGGTAAGATCTCACTTAAAACCCCCTTATATAATTCTTGAGTATCCTATTTTGCAGAGATTGGTGGAGAATACATGTCAGTTAAGTCAGCCGGGAATCTTTCCACACTGTTTGATGTGGGTGGAATAGTGGGTGGGATTCTTGCAGGCTATATATCTGATAGGCTTAATGCACGAGCTATCACAGCAGCCAGTTTTATGTACATAGCCATTCCTTCACTTATCCTCTATCGGTCATATGGGAGTGTTTCAATTTCGTTGAATGTCATTCTTATGATGATAAGTGGATTGTTCGTTAATGGACCATATGCCCTCATAACCACAGCTGTCTCAGCTGATCTTGGGACCCATAGTTCTCTTAAAGGAAATTCAAGAGCATTAGCAACTGTAACTGCTATTATTGATGGAACTGGTTCAGCTGGGGCTGCTTTGGGCCCTCTTCTTACGGGGTTTATTTCGAGGAAAGGATGGAATGCAGTTTTCTATATGCTTGTCATTGCAGCCTTAATAGCTGGCCTTCTTTTGTCAAGCCTTGTTTGTTCTGAAATTCGTGAAAAACTACATGAAGGGAAATCTATATCTCCTGAAAGGCGAGCACAACAACATAGTGGAGGTAATATGGGGGATTAATATTGGGTTATTGCTCATTTGGGGGAATACACCATACTTGTATGTATATGGTATGCAACTGTCCTCATTTACAAATGGATGGTGGAGATTGATAGGTGATCCTTATCACAGACATTCAACTGGCTATACAGTTGTTCTCCACTCTCCATTGTTGAGAATGGGCCCCAACTGTGCACCATGTACCATACTAGGCTTTTATCTCGGACTTTTTCCTGCATATTATTGTTTTCTATTTGTTGCAGTTGTTAGTGTAGCTTATGGACTATCATTATCTGAAATGCTTGTTAGATATGATGCTCATGATTTAAGTGATCCTAAGTCCATGACTTTTTTTCCCTTAAAAAATAGAATAATTGGTCTCTTGGATGTTCTCTTCATTTATTCAGAACAAATTACGCAAGCTGCTAAGGCGTACGAATCAAAATTTAGAAGCTGATATCTGTAAATTCAGCACATATGAGCAATATTATCATGAAGAATAGCAAAGTATTTTTTTATGTGGTTTTTTATTTCTTTTTTTTTTGGTTTATTAATCAGCTTTCTCTACTAAGGAACCCATTAACATTGATATCTGCATTTCGTGAATCCATCAGGGCTAGAATTTTGAAACCACTGTCTTCTTCATGGATGGCAGTGTCTTTTTCCTGGCTTTTGGCAACACTAAATGACTTCTGTTACTTCTCTAAATTTAATTTGTTTTCTTTTATGTTCTATCTACTACTGTAGATATTGAAATTTGATAATGGTATAACTAATTTACTTTCTTTGCTACTCCATAATGACAACGTTAAAGTACACAATTGCTTTATTTGTGACTCCAACTCTCTCCATGTTACAGGTTCTGCTACTGAGCCATTGCTAGGAGAATAAAAGTGAAATATAGTCCACATGATTGGAGCTGCAGGGCTCTGTAAACTTTCTGTATCTTCTCACATGGGCATATAGATCCAGAGAGAGGATTGAAAATAATAGTAAATATCAGATAAAGATTTGGGGTTTGTTAATTTATAAAAGAATGGCTTTTATCTGCCACTTTTGTTTCACCATTTTGTTGTGATCATCAATTCCTAATGTTGTACACATGTACCGATTTAAATTATCTAGTACCGATTGTCTTCAATTTTTCAAATTACAGTTGTATAACAGTTTCCTTCGTGTGAGTTTTGGAATTTTGCAGAAGAACCTCTCCGATGGCATGTTGAATTTGTTCTTGAACATCAGTGTATTGTCCAACAAGGACTTCATATCATATGTACTTGATGTTCAATTGTAGTTTTCATTTATTGGCTTTCAGATTGAGCTTGTTGAAATTACTTTAAAGATCCTGTGACCCTTATGAATTTTGCCATACTAGTAGACTATTTTGTAAGTTTCAATGTCAGAAACAAAGCACTGGGGTGAATTAAATTTGGAGCTCTTGTAAATTCTATTGATTTTGGAGATCCCAGACAAAGCTCTACTGCCCAAGTGATTCTAAAATGATTTAACTGAAATTTGGTTTAAGGCAAGATCTTTCCATTGTCATTTTGCACCAAACCCCTTCCCCACCCACAAACTTCAGCTCTTCCCCTGCTACCCTTTCAACTTTCATCAAAGTCACAGCTTTATGGCACCTAATGGGGCAATTTCCACATATTGGGTCTTTCCTCCTTTGGGAGTTTTTCTTTTGCCACTCCTTGCCCATTAATTTTAAGGGATTGTCACAAATAGACTATTTGTCTTTTGTACATGGAGGTCACAATCATTTTTGTCTCTTAAATTTCAAAATGGATGGTTGTAAGAGTGTCATTGAATAGACACAAAGTTCAAAAGTAAATAAATTCTCTGACTTCGTAACTCACCCCGAGCCATTCAATTCAACATCTAATGATTGGGAATGGTTGTGACCTCTATGTCCAAAAGATAAATGGTCTTTTTGTAAATATTCTCTAATTTAAAACATGGCATATTCCTAGAATCCCATCCTTGCTTTGGGCCATGAGGCCACAATAGCTCATTTCTTCTCTCCTTCTCGCTTCGCCTTGTTTCTGGTCATTGAAGCATTTTTCGTTTAGCTCAAGCCTCATTAGCCATAAAGATGGCCAGCATGGTTAGTCTCCACATTATGCGCCTCCTCTTAGGCAATGGGAGGTATATCGCTGCTAAAAGGTTGCTTCAATTTGAGCATGGTACGACCTGGATGACATAATTGGGTTCAATGCAAAGGTCTATTTATTGATGGCTGTTGGGCAGTGCAAGAATAGGTGTTCCCTCTGTCTGACTCTTGTTTGCACAGCAACCAAATGTTTGGGATGATCATTCCTCACCTTACTAGATGAAGTATTAGAATCTTAACTGCAGTGGGGAGCCATGCAAAAACTTTTAAGTCTTGGGTGGAGCTACAATGAGCCGAACCTTAAAAGCAGCTGAAGCTGATGTTTGGCACTGATTCACAATCTGGTGAACAGGCTGAACTGAAAAATTACCTTTCATATCAGGTTAGGGGTATCAGCTTATCTTCTTTCCTAGCTTTATGAAACAGCTGCTCTACTTCTGCTAGAAGATGATCTTCCAATGCTCTCCTGTTTTTTGTTTTTTGTTTTTTGGTGGGTGGGGGTGGTTGGGATGGGTTCCCGGATGGCTCGGAGCCCCTCTCTTTCTATTGCTTCTGTGGCGCTGATGTTTAATATGAGTCGACTGCAGATAGGCTCAGTACCTGTCCTTGATTTGTTCATGTCCATGCCATGCCTCTATCCAAAACCTTGTTCCCTTCCATTTCCACACTTTCTACTGCTATCATTACGTTCTGAATAAAATGTTGTTAACATCTTTTTATTCATTCCACGTCTGAGAAAGCTTGCTTCTATTTGTGTTGACTAAACACCTTGCTTCTTCCTTCCCTATCTCTTTCCGGCCCTTTTGTAGCTGATCAGCATGACAATTGCCCAACTGGTGAAAAGAGAGATCCCTCTTGTATCCTTCCTACCCCAGATGCACCACCTTGATCCCATTCTTATCCATATTTTATTGAAGTACAGCGTCGACCTAGAACAACACTTGTTAATAGGGATGATTTGGTTCATGTGGAAGCCTCTAAAAAGACAATGGGAAGGTCTAAAAGGACATAGATTGAAGTAGAGAGAAGAGATATGGTCGGTTGAAGAATGACCTAGATAACTGAGTTATGGCCCTTGATAGAGTGGATTAGCATAACATGATTTGTGTAGCCGATCCCAATTAGTTGAGATAAAGATTCAATGATGATGATAATAAATTGAAATTTAAATTAAAAAATCACCTGAAGATTGGATTGAAATCAGGGTTCACTGCTTGTCAATCTATAAATTGGCCATTGAAATTGACAAACAATTTTTGGAAAATAATCTAGTCAAAATTGTAGTTATAAGTACTATAGATGGTCCGATGAGAGGAATGAAAATGATTGACATGTGAACTACTCTAAGGGTGTGTTTGATTTTTGGAAGACATGGTTTCGGAACCGTGTTTTTCAAGAAAGTGGATACCCCAAGTTCCATGGTCCTCCATGGAACTAGCGATATCTATTTTTTAACCTTAAATGCAAGGCAAATGGATACCTTGGTAAATGGATACCTTGGTATCCACTTTACTGTAAAATTTCTCCATTATTAAACAGAGAAGTTCTATACCACTGGAAGACACGGTTTGCAAATCCTCGTCTTCGAGAAATCAAACACGCCCTAAGTGTTCCGGTTGGCGAAGCTACTCTCGCATTTTCAATGTTCTCGGAGAACCAATCAATAATTGTCTCATAGATACCCGCATAACATATTCCTATTCATAGATCATAAATCTGTGTTTGCCTTTATACAATTAAATACCAATTAACAATCTTGAGACATGCATTAATGTGGTGGATCTTTTAGCACGTTGGAAGAAAAATCAGGCTATTGAGGGCAGCATGGTGGATAAAACATCATGGATCAATCCACTGAAATTGACAGCCTCTTCAAATAGGACCCCCGGTTATGTATTCCAGTTCCATCATATGCTACATCTTAGGAGAGAAGTCACAGATGGATTGAGTTTTTTTTGTTTTTTTTGGTAGATTAGTGGAGAATACAAGCTCCTAGTCGTTTTTAAAAATAATTAGCGGTTTTCGAATGCGAAAGTGGGAATAAAAACTTAGATTTGTAGTTGAGGCTCAAATGATGCTACTACCACATTGGCACGCCTGGAAACTAGATCCTTTATCCTTCCAAGCATCCTTTGGACATTAAAATTTCTTGGTCAGCTCTCTTTTTTTTATTTGCTTAATTGAAAAGCACTTTATTTTCTATAGAAGACAAGGCTTTTGTGTGGGCAGGCCCGCGCACCTATATGAAACTTACACAATCTAACTTAATTGAATGGTGGAGATTGCTGGACTACGGTGCAACCTACACTGTCCAACCACTGATGGCGTAGGTTTGATGCGGGCATGTGGGCCTACTCGCATGAAACAATCTACCTTCTATAAATATCTTGATGCATAGAGTGCAACATCCGCGTTGTATAGAAAAATTTTATCATCCTTAACAAGTACTTCTTTCCCTATTTGATGAAAGGAAAGTAATATTTTTTCAGGGACCTTTGACATATAACTATTCGTTGATTGCAGAGTTGGTGGTGTTTCTCAAATTTTAATAGGAAACAAATGTGAAACTCTTTTACATTCCTTGAGGCCTTTAGACTACGGCTCGAGAATACCACAATGCTTAAGTTCCCTTACTCCATGTTCATGTGAATATTCAATCCCAGGTTACATATTAAATACAAACTTCAAAGGAAAGGGATAAAAATGAGTTTTAGATGGGGATGTTTTGTGTTCTCATCAAGAACTAACCTATTAGTGCCCCACATACGGCTGTCAATGCTCCTGGGCCTTTCTAGAGGGTGCCAGGGTCATCCAGCTGGCTTCCGGGCCAGGCCCGATTTTAGGCTAGGTTCGGGTTATATGCTAAGGCTACGCTCTGCACAGGATAGCACTAGCCTGACCCGGTAATTTTTTTAACGATATATTACCACATATTAGATTTCTTTTTTCCATGAACATTTAGAGCCCGAAACTCTTGTCATAACACTAGCCGGGCTCATTATCCTAAATTCAGGGTCTGGCCTGACCCAAACTTAATGTTGAGCCCCAGAACTAGCCTACAATATATCGGACCCAGCCCCGGCCCAAGCCTATTTATAACCCCAGCTTTTGATGCCAATACAATAAATATTGCATCGCCATGAAAATTTGTATACAATTAATATTGCTACAGAGTGAAAATTTGATCTGAAAAGATGCAAATACCTCATCTAAAAGCGCGTTTCACATAAGGTGGAGGCATCTCTCTCTCTCCGAAATTTATGTTTTATCCAAGGTTTTCTGGTCATACGTTTCTGCTAACTGTAACATTTCCCAAACCAACGAGCTGCATGAAGATTGCCCAAAATGAAACAAAGAAACACCGAGGTATTGGAGCTAGCAACCTCTCTAATATAATCAGAAATTTCACTTGCTATGGATAAGAAAACTGTTCTCCGGAACTGAAAAACTGGAGATACATTATAAATATACAACAATAATATTTGCGCTTGGCAAAAATCTTGCGCATCACTCAAGAGGTGAGCTTCTTGCAAATCAATTTTTGAGCTATACTTGATACGTAAAAATACGGGAGAAGCATTGCAATTGCACATGCAACACCTCCATCCTTTTCTTCAGTAAGGTTGGGTATCTATAAATAACGAACAGACTCAGTCACCTGCTTTCTCTGGTGTGTTACTACCATCCATGCTCATCCTCTCATATAAGCGGTACATCAAGGTGGATTTTGACATTTGAGGCTCTCTCTCAAGTAATGCAATCACATCCTTCACAGAGATTCTACGCATGATCTTCAGAGGATGAATTGGAGCCGGTGCCCTCCCGAATGGCCTCCTAGCCACTGTCCCAAACATCAAAATATCAAAACAAACAAAAAGTCAAGCAAAATAAAGCGTATACCACGCAAATCTCTCTCTCTCACAGCCATTGGGCTAGCAAATACAAAGCAAAACAGTTAAGAAAAGTATATTATAACCTACATGATCCTCTCTCTCTCTCTCTCTCTCAAATCAGGTAAGGAAATGTATACCATAGCCAAGGAAATGTATACCATAGCCCATACGATCGTAAAGGTCATCATCATCCAATCAATTTGGATGGTTATGGTCCGACGGATATAGAATCGGGCCCGTAAACATGCCACTACTTCAATTGTAGACCCCTCTCTCCCTCCATCAGTTATGCGTCTAAGTTCGATGGTGATGACCTTTATGACCACACGGTTACCATGATAATACGATCTAGTTATACTCTCCCATCAAGTCAAAAGAACCTCCCTCTCAAAGACATGCCAGCAAGCAAACGATTACAAAATTCGGCTCAGTAAATTCCATATAATACATATGCCATGGTACAATATGATCATAAGGACGACTATCACATGCCAATCAATAGGTCGGATGGTATGGTTAGTGGGACCTCCCAACTGTCACTAATTCAAATGCATGTCCCTACTCTCTCTCCATCCCCGTCCAATTTGAATCTCTCTCTCTCTCTCTCTCTCTCTCTCTCTCTCTGTGTAATACTAATACAATTGAACGGTGATGACCTCTATGACCATACTGTTACCATGAACACGCAATAGCATTTTAACCCAAGACTCGGGCCTGGAACCAGGCAGTGCCTTAGTCCAAATTAGTGTGTCAGACTCTGCAGCATCCTAATCAGACTTGGCCGAGTATTTAGGAAAATAACAAAGAAACCTCAGGATCTGGTGACAGTTGGCCAGTTCCCAGGGTTTCTCAGACCCAGCAGGTGCCAGTTCAGAGTAACTCGGCCAAGTCCGAGTCAGACTCGCTGGGTTTTAAAGACTACTCTCAAATTTGTACACAGACCAGGCATAGAAGACGATGGGCCTTTGTGTTCAGCTTCCTGCCTGTCACCACCACCACTTACAGTCCTCTTGATAGCTGTGAAAGGCTTGCGGGGTGTGTCTTTGTTTGATGATCCACTGGCAGACCCATCAAGCCCACCTTCACGTTTCTGACGAGCTTGCTCAGCCATGAGTTGCCACTTTGATAACATGTCATCTCCCCCAACAGCAGCTCGAGCAGCAACATTTGCAGCATTAGTCCTCATCTTGTCATCTTCTTCCTTGTTTGCCTGAATGTGCAGAACCATAAGAAAATATTTGTTTACATTTTGCTCAATTCCATATTTTTGCTTCTAAATTTAATTTGAAAAGTAGCATGGACAATCAGTACACAAATAATAATACCTTTGATGCCTTTGCACGAGCTTCATCCTTCTCTCCATCCACTCCAACACTTCCCTCTGTCTGCAGTTCATAGCGACTAGACATGAGAGAAATAATACATTTTAGCAAGGAAAGAGTAGAATTGAAAAGCATTACAACAATGCAGATTCTTGCATTTTAATATAATTTTAAATTAAAGTCTATAAATTCTCATCACTACGTGGTTGGAAATGTAGTCATGATTAAAGAACACATGCATAAAAGTTGTGAGGGTACTAGCATTTCCAAGAAAAGGGACTGAATGAAAGCATAAGACCAGTCTACTCAAAATCAACTCGAGTATCCAAACATACTGGTTAGGGCAAAAATTCAATAGCCATAGGCTGAAGTTTAGCATGTTACGCTAGACACTTTTTCATGTTCTTGAGTCCTTAACTACATAAACATATTGTAGCCTCAAGATGGATCGCAGAGGTGAAAAAACAAAACCGAATGAAACAAATTTTGAAACAGTTATTCACAAATTTTTGTTGGTCTATTGCCCAGGTGTGCTGTCTTCTAAAATAAATGACGCAATTAAGCAATCAAAGATTTCATATGATATTTCATGTTTCCAAATAAGTCCTCTTCGTTATGGTTGAAAATGTTGATGGTAATGACTTGAGATTTTGACAAGCAATGATCTAAAAATGTCAATGATAAGATGGCAATTATTGAATATGACCAGTCCAAGGATTCAGGTATATGCATAGTTAGCGAATAGAGGAGTTCGAGACATGTTTCTGAAGGATTTGAACATTGAAGGTCCAAACCATGGGGACTTAACCAATCCAACATATTTTTCTCAATTTACAACCCTGACAGGAGATGCATTTTCTTTTTTATTATTTTAATCTCCTTGGCCATGAGGGAAATCCCAGCTCAAGAATCTCACAGATCCAATTCGGAAACAAAATTATTACCCCAAATTCAGAGAAGTTAGACATTGAACAGACTAAACCACACAAAATTTAAATTTCTTAATTGGAGTTAATGAGTGCCGTTAAGAGGGTCAATTGGAAGAGAAACACTCCATACAAAATTTTGTTTTACTACATCAAATACGCTAGCAGAAAATCAGTATATGTAGGAGATGGAATCCATTTATGAAGATTATTGCCTCAACAAGGAGATTCCGAGACATAAACTGAAAAAAACCGTGATAGATAGCACAGTTATTACTCCAGATATAATATTGACAATATGTCCTAAAAAATCAAAGTGTATAATCTTATCGTCCGATTGAACGCCAAGAAGTGGTAAGAGAAATAGAGAATAATATTTAGATAAAATGCATTACATGTAGAAGAACTACATGATTTACCCACTTCATTAAGTTTCCGTAGTTTTTCTGCTTCTTCAGCTTGCTTCTTCTCCCAATCTTCCTTAGCCCTCCGATTCATAGATAGAATTTGACGCCGAACGTCTGAAGTAGTGAAACTTCTGTGCCTTGGCTTCTCAATGTCTACCCTCTACAGAGTACAGACAAATTGAAAAAAAAAAATAATGATTATGGAAGGAAACTTAAAGACTTAAATCCACATAAACTGCTAACCTGTTTCGAAATTCTTATCAGATTGCTTATCAATCCACGCATTCGTTCCTCAACACACTGAAAGTTTCAGGGTGCATATATAATCAAATAAGGCAGAAACTATTACCATCAAAATATAAATATCAAGGAGCATACCATTGACAAGCAACGTTCGACATCATTGCCTGTACTCTTCAGTTTACACTTGGCCACTGTAACATGGACCAGAGATCAATTTTCATGCATAAAATGGCTTTAATTGAGAAAATTTGGAATAAGCATAGCAATGAGAACAAAAAAATTGCTTGAGATAACAGATTATAAATAAGTTATAACTGATTTCCACTATTTTCTTCTGAAGTGGGCCCTTTTGCAAAATCATTCTTTCTTCTTCCTCTTGTACTACTCTTCTTGTTGCTTCTGAAGCTCTACTTTCCTCCTTAGGGGTGGAAAATAGCTGTTCCTCCTCTTCCTGTGCCAGACAACATCATCGCCTCATGGTGTAAGCATTCAGAAAAATTGACTTCCAGGAGGCTAACAATTGTCCAGCAATTACAATTTTATTATACAGCAACAGATGCATATATTTGAAATAAAATTTACTTAAATTTTATGGATAATATTCAGATAAAATCATTACCCTAAGGTTTACTCCACTAACAGCAGTTACATCATTGAGTTGCTCAATGCTCTGATCCGCAAATTCACCAGCTACCTTCTGCTTTTTACTGAGATATCAACAATAATAAGAGATCGCACATAAAGTTAATACTTAATGCAACATTGCTCAAGAATTATATAAATAGCAAAGATCGAAAAAAGAGCACATAATAATCAGAGACAAGGATTAAATAAGAAACTTTACCTTGATTGTTGTGTTGGATTTCCAAGAGCCTCAAATGGCTTTTTCTGACCAACCGAAGGTTTCTTTGGAGTATTCTTTGTATTAGTGACAGCCGCAGCTGGTGTGATTGTAGAGGGCATACGAATCTGAATTTTCAGCATATATTGGATAAGCACCACAGGATAGTACATGCTACTATAATACCATGGATTGCATTATACTATACATACCGTGGCAGAAGAAACTGGAGGGGTTTGTGTAACCTGAAAATAAAAACAAAAAAAACTAAACCAAAAGCTTAATGTTTTCCCTTCCATGAAAAGATAGTTAAGAACTACAATTCTATGGCTTGTCACAAACAGGAGCTGCAAGAATATTTGCAGCAAATAATCTTGTTCAATGGAATTGGATTTCTTTCATACTTTTCTTGTTGATTTAGTCAAGCAAGATTAAGAACATATTATAAAAGACAGATGAGCGCTCAACTGCTTACCACAAAAATCGCTGCCTGGCTCATGCTGAAGAACTTCTTTTCTTTCTTTTTTTTTTTTTGTTTTTTTTTTAACAGTACGCCAAAGAACTCGGTTTTTAGGAACTAAAGATGGCACACCATAACAGTCTCCACCAACATGTGTACTCACACATCATTTTTTTGTTATTATTATTTTTATTTTTTTTGATAGGTGTACTTTCATGTCCACCTTCAAAAGATAAACCATGCATGAAGGTTTTCATATATGGGGTTTATGGGGTTTACATGTTTAGAAAAAGCATCTCCACACAAGCACAACTTTGTATAACTTGATTACAACTGTCATGGAATACAAAGATATACCTGCATCTTATGGTCAGGGTGTGTTGCTGAAGAAGTTTGAAGCTGACTTGATGATGAGATATTGGAGGAAGAAGCAAAATTCATCCTAGCTGACTGCTTCTCATGTGGCTCATCCTTTGAAGGACCATGAAATGACCTCCCTTGCTCATGATGGACTGCACCAAATGAAGATGGGTTCTGGGTTATTGGCAATTGAGGCTTCTGTTCATGCTCAGAAGCCTGTTCATTAGGTTCCGGCTTCACGTAAGCAATTGATGACATTCCACTACTCATTTGCTCTTTCTCTAGTGAAGATTGCCATGGACTCTGATTCTGTTGTGGTGCTGACTGGCTTGCAATTTGAGGAACTGACCCACTTTGCAGTCTATTAGTTTCATTTCTAGCACCATGTAACTCATACCTAGGCATATTTTTCAGGCTCACCGGCTGAGATGAACTCATACCTTGGGCATGAGCAACTTGCCCAATCTGTGAATCCTGAGGTTGGGTCTTACCAGAAGAGGCTTGAACATTAGCAGATGGCATAGGAAATGGTTGGGAATGATAATTACCCATTGTGTGCCCATACATTGAAAATGGAGAGTGAGGAATATGCATATGTTGTTGTTGCTGAATTGAAACAACAGAAAGATCTTTTTCTTGATCGGGACGATCCATATTCACTGAAGAAACTTGATTTGATTGTGTTCCTTGTGCATCATGCTGTCGTTCTCCTGTTTGTCTAGATTTCTGAGCACTGAGCTCTGGATTGGTGAGCATTGAATCAGTTTGCATTTGCAAAGTTGGATTTGGAATGTGAGATTGGGGTTCGGAAGGTGTATAGCTCTTCTGATGTTGGTTTGATGTTAACTTCGGTATGGATTGGGGTTCAGCCAAGAGTTGAGTGTTGCCCTGGGAAAGAGGAACAGACTGTTGTGAAGGGGTTTGTGACTGTTGCAAGTGAAATTGTTGTTGATTTGCTGAGTTCCTTATAGCTTGTGTATGCTGTTGTAAGAAAATAGACGAATCAGTAATTATCTATCTATAAGAACACGGAAATGTACATGCATGCATGCATGCACGGACGCACACACACAGAAACTAGTCTGCATCCTGCGCAATGCAGAATCACCCAAACAAATCATGTATTATATTCAAAACCTCTTATTTCAAATTGAGACAATTTATGTTTGAAACGATACCAATTAATCACATTTAAAAATAAGAAAGTCAAAGACTCCTCCTTCTCACTAAAAACTAAGGGAAAAAAGGAATTCTTCATCCCATAAATTCAAAGGAACTTACTAGTTAAACCTCCACTATAGTATGACGAAGTATTTTTAATTTTATTCTTTTAAACAAGTAAAAAAAAAACTCTAAATCATGGTAATTTTAATCAAAACCCAAAAAGTTAAGAAAGCATATTTCTTATTTTTCTTAGAAATCAAAATCCATGGAATTTGAAAACGTAAAATTTTATCTCAATCCCATACATTGTGAGGAAATATTGTTATGAGTGAGATTTGTGTATAAGGAGAGCTTCCTACTTTGTTAGAGAGAAATATATGAAAGGAAATCGTATTCATTAGGACTCCAATTTGTAAGGGAATCTTCCTTCTTTTTGAGGAGAGATCAAAAGATCTTCATTATTAAATCAATGAAAATCAAGAGCCTTTGTAGTATGATGATGACACACAGTTACATCCTAAGAAATTTAGTGCAGTGTAGCAATGCGTGTGCATTTGAAAAAGAGAAGAAAGAGAGAGAGGGTTTTTTTATTTTTTGGGGTGGGGGGGGGGGGAGGTGAGAGTGAGACAGATGGGAAAGGGAGAATTAACTTGAGAGAGAATCACTGCCACCTAAGGAGAAATATAAAGAGAGATGTAGAAGAGTAAAAGAGTAAAAGAGAACACATATCAGACATAGGTCAAACTTTCTTTTTCAAGAATTCTCTAGAAGAAGGATTCCCTTTTGGTATGATTTCTTTTGCAAATTCCAATGGGAAACTAGTAAATTCTAATCTTTAAATAGGAAACCAATATGTATTAAGTAAACGTACAACCCGTAAAATCAGGCAGAGATGGGCAACCAATATTTTTTCCTTCTTTGTGATGCATACTTCTTCCAACCACATTTTGCAAGTTTACAAACATAAGGAAGATTCGATGATCAGAACTTGCCTTCTGCTGCAATTGTTGGGCTGCCTGTTTAAGAGTCTGCTCCCCCACAATTCCCTTTATAAGTCTCATAAAATCTCCTTTGTTAATCTCAGCTTTCTGAGAACAAGAAAGACTCAGTCCAACGGGGATTCAAAAATTCACAAACTTACAATATAAAAAAGGGCACTGTTTCAAAGCATAAAAGCCACATGCAGCTTGAGAACAGTACCCACCTTTAACCTATTAAAGGCTGTCATGAGCTGCATAGCCCTATCTTTATCAAGCTGAGAACACAATATAGGCATCAATAGACCAAATGGTATAGAAGAAGGTGATTTAAACTGCCTCATAGAAGCATTCACTTGACCTGTGCCAGCCTGTTCTTGTTGAACGTTAACATTTACTAAATGTGGGTGTTGTTGCTGGTTTTCAGGAGGTCCATACGTATCCAGTTCTGGGTTTCGAACCACTTGTGCATTGGAATTATGATCATAGCTAATTTCTTCAGAAGGGTTTGGTTTTTTCTCCATGTTTTGGTTCAACTGGAGTGGTTGGGGTGGTTTATGGTCCACTAACATCTGTTCATGCTCACCGGGAGGATGGGATTGAAGTGGTTGATGCTCCATCACACACTCCATATCAGATGATTGTTGCTGTTGTAGTAGCTGACTGTTTTGTTGTTCATGGGGTTGTTGGTGTTGTTGAACCTGAGGCTCTTCTTGGGCAAGTTGTGGCCATTCTCCAGATAGTGGAAATGAAGATTGAGAGTTTCCGTGGGATAATGATCCTCTAGAAACTGAGATAATAATGCACAATAATTATATGGGAAAACAGAACGGAATATAAAGACAAAGAAAAAATCTTATCCATGAATGATATACTGCACTGAAAGAGTTCGATTACAATATATTCCAATGTCTGTCAAAACTCTTCATTAAATCAGCAGATAAATTTGGTACAGCATACAAAATTGTCAGGCACCATCTCCCATGTCCCACCAGATCACATACATTCTTGTGAAAAACTAAACCCTTGAACCAGTACGTAGTTAAATTTTGGTAATTGATGGCTCTTCCTGCTTACAAGTGATCCAAGATCCCACCATATGGGTTTTTGTGGTCATTCATATAATGAAAGAACAGTAGTGTTTTTTTTAATGGGAGAATAGACTGTTCATTTTCAATTCATGAAAAATGGCAATAAGTTTATCTTGTTTTAGCAATAACTGAATATAGTCACAAACAAAATCCCCCAATTGAAGTGCAAATACAGTTCTAGTTACAGGTAAGCCACTAAAAAATGGATGAAGGAAACCAAATGAACAACCAATGTAAAGCACCTTAAGAATCAATCTCAAAAGGAAAACTTTCATGGCATAAAGCACAGATTTCAACAAAGAAATGGAACATTGAAATCCTAATGAGATATAAGAAATGAAAATTTACAATCCTGATGAGATATAGAAACCAAAGAGTATCTTAACAAACAAGAAAAACATTGATTTGTTAGAAGAATTTAACCAGAAGTCTGAGAACCAGGCTGAGGACCCCCAATGTCTCTATTCAAGGCAGCTGTTAAAGCCTCCACATCTGCTCCAGAATGCAAGTGCTCATCCTAAAAACACACACAAAAAAAAAGCATCGTATCAAATGAACCCAAAACCTAATCCCACCCAAAATTACCCAAATCAAAATAAATTCAAAAAAACACAGAGGCAAACATAACTGATTACCTCATCATCCTCCAAAAGCTTCATAATGGAGGGATCCATTTCCAACAAGTTGAAGCTCTTCTTTCTAGTTCTTCTATCCTCAACAACGTTAAGTTACATGTGTTTTCTCGACAAACTGACAGGTAATTCCATGGTGATCAAATCCATTTCATACTCAATCTTAGAAAACTAGGGCAGGTGAGAGATGGATACAACCAATTCAAAAGAGAGTGAACCGTGATATTGCTTTTGAAGTCTCACAACCCCTAAGGCCGTGTTTGGTAACTGAGACAGTTATTTTCCTAGAGAATCTCTGAGAAACTGCGAGCCTAAGAAAAAGGTGAATGCATATAACTGGTGGCTGGAAGCTGGAAACCCAGTAACCTGTCCGTGCAAACCAGGGAAATCTGCTAAGTGGAAATGTCCCTGTACGCTAACCTGGAAAATTGCTAACCTGGAAAATAGACTAGCATCAATGGAGCAAAACAGATGACATGCATAAAGAATTAGCATATGGAGGCAATATCATGATTCATGTCAACGGAACTAATCAGAAATAAAAAAAACACAAAATTTCAATGGCTAGGTCCGAAACAATTACCAGCAAAGCAACTCCTAGCCCCTTACAGCAACACCACTTGATTTAGAGATTATATCAATATGAAACTTGGGTTTCTAATGAACTGACTCCTTTAGGTATAATTCAAGCAAGATGGCATCACATGGCTAATCAATCGCAAAATTGTTACCAATCCAAAAATTAAAAATAGAAAGTCAAAAGAGCAATGTATCACTTACCAAAAATCTAGAGTTTAGACATCTTGAGATTATCAGTAATGAACAGGACGAGATGATGCAGGAACAGTAAGCTAAGACCAGAAAGAAATTAGACGTCCCAAGTGCCAGGTCTTTTAAAATGAATATTCTGCATATACTCATAAATCTGAATCAATGAAGAACTATTTTCTGATATTATGAAAACAATCAGAGCATATTTTCTGATACTATGAAAATTTATCAGAGCTCTGAAATGAAATTTGAAAGCAAGTAAGAACAATGAATATTAATAACAATAAAAATTCAGAACGATGAAGAACAACCTGAAATATCGATAAGGACTTGAAGAGAGAAACAGAATGATATGAGAGCTGATGGCGCCAAATGAAGGCCAGGGCTTGAAAAAAGAGAGCAACAACAAGAGAGAGAAGTTGGTTGCAGAGAGAGACAACAACCGGAACAGAGGGGGATATAAAGGGCATACAGAGAGAGAGAAGGGGATTGGGTAGAGAGAGCTTGGGGTTGCAGAGGAAGAGAGAGAGAGAGAGTTAAGGTAGAGAGAGAACCGGGGGGACTTAAATAGCGACCTCGGACCGATCCAGAGAGCGCGTCCTCAAAAAGGGAAATTTCAGAGCCCTATGAGAGCATACTGCACACTTGCTCCCTCGGCTAAAATATTTTATGGGAGCTCGGCTAGCGTGGAGAGAGAGATCCGGCTGTTTGGATAGCGATCTCGAGCCGATCGAGACTCGAGAGATAGATGAGATAGCGTCGTCAAAAAGGGGCAAAATTCAGAGCCCTGTGCGAGCATACTGCACACTTACTCCCGCGGGTAGGATACTTCAGGATAGATTGTTTTTTATTAAAAAAACTTCCCAATGATTTTATAAATATTTTCCTGAATTTTTATTAAATCTTCTTTTCGACCTTTAGGAACCGATGCGGCCTGTGGACCACTAAAGCAGAGACATTGAGGTTGTTTTTCTCATGTGGTCCATAATTTAATATAAACCTTTTTCCCTCGTCTACTTCTATTGAGAGTTTAAATGCGAAATGAGAGACTAATATGTTTTTTATCAAAATTTCAATATATATATATATATAGAGAGAGTAATGATCCGATGAAACCCTCCCACACTCATGTATAAAAGATTCCAAATGATCATCATTAAATTTGGTACATATCTTTAAAAAAGTCAAATCTCATATTCATATGATAAATTTTATAGAGATCTGTGCCAAATTGAATAATGATCTTTTAGAATCCTTGTGAGAGGGTTTTATAAGATCGTTACTCATATAATATATATATTATATTAAGCGAAAGGATACCCATATGTTTTTGTGCTAAGTATCTCATTTTTTCTTTTCCATAACAAATTACTCCCCCCACCCACACAATTTTCTCTCTTCTCTTTTTCCCTCTTACACCTTTTCTTATATTTCTTCTCATGTTTTGTGTCGCATGTTATATCTTTCGTCATTCCTACTAAATCAACCTTCCCCAACATATTTTTTTAATAAATCTCTCCCTCCTTCACACTCCCTATAATTATCTCTCTCTTACATTTTTTCTTAAATGTTTGATATCTTTTAAAAACTCTCTTATCTCTCTCTTATTTATACCATGTACGGTCTATTTTTATTATATATTAAACAAGAGGGATACCCTCTCTATTTTTGTGCGAAATGTCTCATTTTCTCTCTTCTTTAATAAATTATGCCTCCCACCTACACGATTTTCTTTCTTCTCTCTCCCTCATACACCTCTCTTTAAATCTCTTCCCCTGTTTTGTGTCATGTGTCTCATATTTCATCATTCCTAATAAATCACCCCTCATCCTAACATTTTTTTTCTTAATAAATCTCTTTCTTAATAAATCTTTGTCCCCTACATCCCACACGATTATCTCTCTCTCCCTCCCTCTTATGCATTTTCTTAAATGTTTTATATCTTTCTTAAATTCTCTTTTTTATCTCTCTTATTTATATCATCTACGGTTTCCCTCACTATTGTTTTTATCTCTCTCATGATTTTTCTCAATTGTTTGTATATCTCTCTCACTTTCATAAAATCTTTCTCTCATTTATTTTCTTAAAATCTCTCCCTCTCAAATGTCTCTCTCTCAACAGTTTCTCTCTTTCTTTATTTTCTCTATCTTGTCATAATTCCCAAAAACGTATAATAAATAAATTCATTATTTTTCTTTCCCTCTATGTGATAACTCTCATCTTAAATCTCTTCTATAATATTTATCATATACTACTCATCTCTTTCTCCTTTAATCCCTCTCTTAATTTCTCCCTCCCAATATATCTTTTTAAGAAAAACCTCTTTCAGTCTTTCTCACCGTAAACCCTCATGCCTGAGCCCAAAAGCATATCACCCCACACCTTATCCTATGAGAAAACAATGTATTTATCTCTCTCTCAAGTTTATTTATCTCTCTCTCTCAAGTTTTTTTCTTTAATGATCTCTCACAAGGATTTTTTAGCTCGAAAATATTTTCTTAAGAGAAAAAGTGAAAGGATCTAACTCTATCTCTATATAGTATATTTTTCAAATTGTAATAAGATTTTTTTATATATAAAAAATAAGTGGTTTGATCTTTCTCTTATAGGTCATAAAACTCAACTAGACTTAAAAACTAAGGATTTAGATCCTTGAATAGTCTCATTTTTTTTATTATAAACTTGAACATAGTAATAAAACAGTACTATATTTTTCAATTTGTAATATGATTTTTTTACATATAGAAAATAAGTGGTTTGATCTCTTTTTCACATGTCAAAAAAGCTTAATTAGATTGAAAAATATTACGATTTAGATTCTTGAATAGTTCTAATTTTTTATTATAAACTTGAACATAGTAATAAAATAGTAGTATATTTTTCAAATTGTAAGGTGATTTTTTTACATATAGAAAAGAAGTGGTTTGATCTCTCTCACACATGTCAATAAAACTCAATTAGATTGAAAAACTAAGTATTTAGATTATTGTATAGTTCTAATTATTTTATTATAAACTTGAACATAGTAATAAAATAATAATATATTTTTCAAATTGTATTATGATTTTTTACATATAGAAAATAAATGGTTTGATCTCTCTCTCAAGTCATAAAACACAATTAGATTGAAGAAACTAACGTTTTAGATTCTTGAATAGTTTTAAATTTTTTTTTTATATAAACTTTAACATTGTAATAAAATAGTAGTATATTTTTTAAATTATAATACAATTCTTTTACATATAGAAAATAAGTGGTTTGATCTCTCTCTCAAGCCGTGGAACTCAAGTAGATTGAATAAACAAATGATTTAGATTCTTTAATAGTTATATATATTTTATTATAAACTTGAACATAGTAATAAAATAATAGTATATTTTTCAAATTGTAATATGACTTTTTTACATGTAGAAAATAACTGGTTTGATCTCTCTCACAGGTCAGTGAAACTCAATTAAATCGGAAAAACTAAGGATTTAGATTCTTGAATAGTTTTAATTTTTTATTATAAACTTGAACATATTAATAAAATAATATTAATTATTGCTTATTATTACTTATTATTAATATTAATATTTTATTTTACTATTTTTTATTCCGATTGCCTATAAGATATTTATATTGTCTCTTCTAGCTTTATTTTCTAGCTGTATTATGCCTTTATTATGAAATCATAATTTAATTTTATTTTATGAATTATTTTTATCGTATAAGGCAAAGCCCATGGATCTTAAATGCTAATGGAAAAAATGATTTTTTTCCTTCTTGATTCTTATACTAGATTATATCAATTTTGTTTCTATCTCAATTTCACCCTTTATGATTTTAATTATATTTTATTATATTTTACTTTTTTATGAATATTTTAACATTGAATTACTTTTTTAATAGCAGTAATAGCTTTCTCTAGCTATTTTCTAGGTATATTATTGCCTCTTTTGAACTCTTTATTATGAAACAAAATTAAAGGGAAAAATTGACATAGAAACAAAGTCGATTTATCGTTTAACATAAGCATCCAATTTTTTTTTTTTTTCTTTAGTATTCAAGATCAATGGGCCTTACATTGGAAGATAAAAATAAAATAATAGTAATAATTCAGTTTATTATTATTATTATTATTATATGATAAAATATCCTATAGGACCGTCCTCCACCTATGTGTGTAGGCCCCAAAGGATCACTATTAAATTTGGCACGGATCTATATAAAAGTCAAGTCCTACACCCATGTGATAACTTTTATAGAGATGCGGGCCAACTTTAATGGTGATCCCTTGGGGTTCTACACACATGGGTGGGGAAGGGTCCTATAGAATTATTACTCTTATTATATTTTTAAAATAAAATACTAATAACATTATTATTAATATTACTAATAGAAATAAAATAATAGTTTTATTTCTATCTCAATTTTGGCCTTTACGTATTTTAATTTTAATTTTTATATTTTAAATGTTTTTATGACTATATTAATGTTACATTAGTTTTTTACTGACAACACTATATTTTTTTAAATGTGATTCAACATAGATAAAATTTGATTCTTTATTTTTTGAGATACTTAAATATCTTTTTTTTTTAATTATGAATTTTGAATTCTTAAAAATGATTCATAATTAATATGTTGTGATCCCATCTCCTCTAACTTTTTTTTTTTTTACTATTTTTCATTTGCACTATGTCCGTCTTGATTATTCTATTTCAAATAATATTAAAAATCTTTTGGTCGCATTTAGTCTTTTTTTTATGACAAATCACATATCTGAATTATTTTTTCGTTCATGCTTTTAAAAGAAAATTTATACTTCTTAAGTTAATGCAACATAAAAAACAAAACCTATTGAAAATGCACATCCCCCATTAATAAGCATGTATTTTTTATTAAGCATAATTTATCTATCTCATACTCAAGTCATTATTTCCCATGCGCAACAAAAAAGGCCCTCAACCCAATAAAAAATGTACATATTTTTTTTTATGATAATTTATCCATCTCACTAAAGTTACTATTTCCCATGTCTATTGTTAATGAGTAATATGTGGGTTAAGAAAATAAATATATGTTAATCTCACATCTCACCCCTAAATCTCTCCCTCACTCACTCTTTTTTTATCTCCCTTTTCTTTAAATCTATTTCCCCTATTCTTGAAATTAGGTATTGATCAATATATATAAATTCTTATCGCTCTTTTGTTTATAATAAGGTTAATGCTTTTTGAATATGCCTTAATGAACTAATATATTAAATATAGACATTAATAGGATCTAATGTCTTCAACCAATTTATGGGATATTTGCATTAGTACGACACTGCAATAATTTATTTATTAGTTTTATTTATATAATTTTACATTATTTTTTAAAATGATCTTTATTATTTTAATTGTGCGGCAAATGAATTCATGTTAATCAATAATATATTAAACAAATATTTAGTATCACATTTATTGTTGATTAATAAAATATTCAATTGTGAAGATAAATGCATTAAATTCTCTCTCTAAGACCAACTCTCTTTACAAGACCAACCAGGAGTTGTTATTAA